CCTGCATCCAGATTTCCTCCCAGAGCTTGCACCTCTCACCCCTTACCACACCCAAATCCCTCATTCCCACCCCAGAGCCTACACATCCTGTCTCAACACAGTAAGGGTCCAGCTAGACTGCAGGAGTTTTTCAGGATTCTGGAGATATCCCAGAAAAACTCTTCTGAATCCAGGGTTGCATTTGTTCTTCCGCTTTTTTAGTGGAAGAGCAAACAGGCTCTTTTGGTCACCCCTATATTCCTCTTTCCACAAGGAATAAGGTGGCTTCCAAAAGAAGGGTTTTTTTCTGACATTTGGTCCAGTGTAGACAGGCCAAATGTTGGAAAAACCTCTTCCTACAGAAAAGAAAAAAAAAAAAGCAGCAGTATAAGGATTGGGGATAGCAAGTGATGGAGAGGAGGAGAATAGAGAGGGCGGGGCGGTAGATCTTGGCTTGGTCTGTCATTTAAAAAGTGATCTTGGGTGTAAAAAGGTTGGAGACCACTGCTCTAAGCTGTGCAGCAGCCTATCAAGGGACATGCAGGTGTTCAGGGTTGCAGCAGAGAGGGGCACCTCCCGCTGTCCCAACCCTGCCTGTATATCACCTCATGGCCCAATCTTCTGGTTGCTCAGCTCCTGGAGAAAGTGACTACAGCAATGTTCTTTACCCCTTCACCTAACACAAGACCTAGGGGTCACCCAATGAAATTAATAGGCAGCAGATTTCAAACAAACCCAAAGTGGTGTTTCTTCACACAGCACACAGGCAACCTGTGGAACTCCTTGTCAGGGAATGTTGTGAGGTGAAAAAAGTATAAAGGAATTCGGTATGTTCCTGGAGAATAGGGCCATTAATCACTATTAACCAAGATGGGCAGCTCTATGCTTTGGCTGTCCCAACATTTCTGTCTTCCAGGAGCTGGGAGTGGGCACCAGGCATGGATCACTTGATTCCCTGTTGTTAATTCCTTCTGGCATCAGCCACTGTTGGAAGGCAGGACACTGACAGATGGACCTTTACTCTGACCACCGATGCTCCCAGAGGGATGCTGTGGCTGAGCCAATACCAACTTGGTACACACAAACAGGCTTTTGATTACAAGTAATGAAGTTACTTTACCTTTGTATTTGGCACCAGTGCAACTGCTGCTGGGATCCTGTGTCCAGCTGTGGTTGGGAAATTGGAGGGCCAGAGAAGAGCCAAGAGAATTAGAAAAATCTGCCAGATAGTGACAGACTCAAGCTTGCAAAGGGGTTGAAGAGCGGCTTAGACCCAGGAGATAGCATCTTGTTTGATCACTGCTCTTCAGGATAGCAGGGAAGGGAGCTGAAGTCAGACTGGAACTAAGAGATAAAGGGTTAATAGGGAGGGGAACTAACCTTGGAACCAACTCCTGGGGTCACGATGCCCATTTTTCATTCCAGACAGGATGTTTTTCTGAGAGCTCAGCAGGGCTCTGGCCTATGTGTTCTGGGGCTGCCCTGGCCACGCCATGGAGGGAACTGGCTCTGGAGCAACCCCAGCTTTGTGGCTTTTCATGCCTTCATGCCCTCGCTTTACCTAGCATCCCCCCCAACCTCCAAAGTACTGGTGCTTGGGGTGTCCCAACCCATTTTATGGCTTTGTCGGTGTCTGTCGCCCCGCCTAGCCTGTATGTCAGGTTGTCAGCCCCTGCTGTACGTGTCTGTGTCCGTTGCCCCACCTAGCCTGTCAGCACCTGGTGTACGTGTGTCAGTATCCATCACCCAGCCTGGCCCATGTGTCAGGCTGCAGCCCTTATTGTACGTGTATCAGTGTCTGACACCCTGCGTGGCCTTTTGTACATCAGTGTGTGGCTGTAGGACTGCATTTACCTTGTGTGAAGAAACCTGTGTCCAAACATTAAGGCAGCAGAGAAAACACCAAGGACTCCAATAAACTGTTGCCTGGACAAGCCCTCAGTGATTTTTGCTGCTGTTTGTGGGCTGGCTACATGCAGAGAGAAGACAGTGGGGGAGGATGACAAACTGCCCCATCCCAGCCAGCAAGCTAGGCCCCAAACTCTGAAAGGGACCACCAGGAGAGGGGGGCCATAAGGCAGTAAGCAGAGCATGGGCACCAGGCCAGTGATTGCTGTAGGTTTTAAAGAAAAAACAAAAGGAAGTTTTTCTTCATGCAGTGCAGTCAACCTGTGGAACTCCTTGCCAGACAGAGGCTGTCATGAAAAAAAACTGGATAAATTAATGGAGGGCAGGTCCATCAATGGCTATTAGCTAGGATGGGCAGGGATGGTGTCCCTGGCGTCTGTCATGGGATGGAAATGGATGACAGGAGGGGGATCACTTGATGATTCCCTGTTATGTTTATTCCCTCTGGGGCACCTGGCATTGGCCATTCTTGGCAGACAGGACACTGGGCTAGATGGCTTCAGTGTGACACACTCTGGCCATTCTTATGTTCACCACGTTCGCAGGGGTGCCCACCCTGGGAATAGACATATTCCCACTAGCCAGAGCAGAGTGGGCAAGCAGCACCCTTGCCCTGGGGCCAAGCCAGGCGCTCAAGAACAGGGGTCGGCAAGGTACAGCACACATGCCATAAGTGGCATGCAAGTTTATTTTCAGTGTCACGCATAATGAACTGGCTCCCCCGCACTACCCCCACCCACAATGGGGAGCCTATGCTGGTGATCCAGCATCATGCCCTCCCCACCACCCAAAGACTGGAGCCAGCGCAGGCTTCCTGTGCGGACGAGGGGAGGGAGTAGCCCTGAGGCTCTGCACCAGATCCGGCTTGCAGGGAAGCATGTACACTACTCCTCCTCTCCCACAAGAAAAGCCGGAGCCAAAACCAGGGCCGTAGACCAAGCAGGTCATGCAGTGGAGGGAGCCCGACCTCCTTCCCCAGGAAAGCAGCACAGCCCCGGACAAGGGCCTCCTGCACTGGGAAACTGACTAGGCCTGGCCCCAGAACAGCAGGACAAACTCCTGCCCTTCCCCGGGACCCACCTGTGTCCCACAACTAGCTTGTGCTGCCAAGCTCCTCCACTGGGGGGGGGTCTCATAGTGCAGCACCTGCTCACGCACAGCCCCACACAGTGCTGCTACCGCTGCTCCTTACAGCCTCCCGGGGTCCTGCCCAGCCTGCTTCACGAGAAGAAAATCACCACAACCCATTAAAAACCAAACACTTCATTGAACAGTTAAGATCACAGCGGCTCAATGTGAGCGAGTTCTCGGCTCCCAGCCTGGGCCTGGGGCACTGCCAGCACATCCTGGGCCTGGCCCAATAGCTGCTCTGCAGCACTCTTACTGGCACCACAGACTCCTGCCTGGGCTTGCAGGAGGGGCCTGGAACCAGATGCTGGGAGCCAGGCACAGGACCAGACGGAAACAGGCACAAAACCACACCACTACACACAGGCCCACCCCTTGGAGGTGTGAGGAGCCCCCGGACAGAGTGCCAGCCCCATGGTGCACCGGGCAAGGAGCCCCCGGACAGAGTGCCAGCCCCATGGTGCCCCAGGTGAGGAGCCCCCGGACAGAGTGCCAGCCCCATGGTGCCCCAGGTGAGGAGCCCCCGGACAGAGTGCCAGCCCCATGGTGCCCCAGGTGAGGAGCCCCCGGACAGAGTGCCAGCCCCATGGTGCCCCAGGTGAGGAGCCCCCGGACAGAGTGCCAGCCCCATGGTGCCCCAGGTGAGGAGCCCCCGGACAGAGTGCCAGCCCCATGGTGCCCCAGGTGAGGAGCCCCCGGACAGAGTGCCAGCCCCATGGTGCCCCAGGTGAGGAGCCCCCGGACAGAGTGCCAGCCCCATGGTGCCCCAGGTGAGGAGCCCCCGGACAGAGTGCCAGCCCCATGGTGCCCCAGGTGAGGAGCCCCCGGACAGAGTGCCAGCCCCATGGTGCCCCAGGTGAGGAGCCCCCGGACAGAGTGCCAGCCCCATGGTGCCCCAGGTGAGGAGCCCCCGGACAGAGTGCCAGCCCCATGGTGCCCCAGGTGAGGAGCCCCCGGACAGAGTGCCAGCCCCATGGTGCCCCAGGTGAGGAGCCCCCGGACAGAGTGCCAGCCCCATGGTGCCCCAGGTGAGGAGCCCCCGGACAGAGTGCCAGCCCCATGGTGCCCCAGGTGAGGAGCCCCCGGACAGAGTGCCAGCCCCATGGTGCCCCAGGTGAGGAGCCCCCGGACAGAGTGCCAGCCCCATGGTGCCCCAGGTGAGGAGCCCCCGGACAGAGTGCCAGCCCCATGGTGCCCCAGGTGAGGAGCCCCCGGACAGAGTGCCAGCCCCATGGTGCCCCAGGTGAGGAGCCCCCGCACAGAGTGCCAGCCCCAGCAAACCCCAGAGCCAGGCAAGGGGCTGCCCCATAGTAGCTTTACCTCCCACTCCCCAGGCTCACAGGCAGGGCCAAGTGGACAGCCGAAGGATCTACCTGCAAAGCGATTGCCCAGCCAGCGTGCCGCCCATTGCTCTCATACGCACTGCCATGGGTGGCAGCTGGGAAGGGCCCAATAGTCCAGGAGCTGGCAGGCCACTGACACCAAACCAGACCCTGGAACACAAGCCAGAGGCTGGCGTCCCTGGAGGCAGGAGCCCCCTGGCTTGGCTGCTCTGTCTTCTCCCAGGCCTGGAGATGCTGCAGCATGGAGCGTCCAGAAGAGGGTCTCCAGCCAGGCAGCCGGTGGTGGTTATGGTTCCTGTAGGAGGCCGTGCTGGGAGGGGCTGGCGCTAGGGCTCGCCTGCTGGTCCCCAAACGTGGTGCTGAACTGGGCCCTGCACTCCTGGAGCAGCTTGTGGCCCACGGGAGAGGTGAGTCCCACCAGGCAGTGGGCCCGCACGATGCCTGACTGCCCACCTGACACCAGCCAGCCATGAGAGTCCAGGTTGGGGCTGAAGCGAACCTGCCAGGGAGAGGAGAATCAGGCCTGGGAAGTGGGGCTGGGGGGCAGCAGCAGGTTTAAGCAGCAGAAGTTTGACCAGGATGGGAAGGGGAGGGTCACTGCTCATTCTTTAGACTGTGAGGGTGTCCCCCTGTTGCCACCACCCTACAGGGCGGGTTGGCTGCACAGCTGAGCTCCATGGGCTGTCCTCTAGTGAGGCCACTGCAGCGTGCCCTTGGGCCAGATTCAGCCGGGTCAGGGGAGGGCTGAACAGCTCAGAGGCCAAACGGCCTCCCCAGCCTCCCAGTGCAAAGAGGGCAGGTGAGATCCTGCTGGCTCTGCATGGTGAAGGGAGACCAGTGACAGGGCCCAGGCATGCCTTGCACTCAGGGGACAGCAAGACCCACCCTGGCATGATGCAAGTCTAGGGAGACCCAGGCCCCCAGCACATCAGGCAGCAGAGGGTGCAGCTCACTAGGAGTCGTCTTCCCGGTATGGGGCTCACCTTGTGGATGGACTCCAGCTGCATGCGGTCTAGGCTCAGCTCCGACTTCACCTCCTGCTCCTGCATCCTGCGCATGGGCTCCCGGCTGAAGAAGTTTCGGAAGCTCCGCTGTGGGGGAGGGGAGACAGCGTGAGAGAGATGCTGAGGATGGGCCCCTTGGGAAGGGAAACTGGCACTGGGCTCCCAACCATGGGTGGGAACCCAGGAAACGCCCTCTCCCCAGCTCTTGGCTGCTCATGAGAGCAGTTTTCAGGTATCTAAAAGGGTGTCATGAGGAGGAGGGAGAAAACTTGTTCATCTTGGCCTCTGGGGATAGAACAAGAAGCAGTGGGTTTAAACTGCAGCAAGGGAGGTTTAGGTTGGACATTAGGAAACACTTCCTGTCAGGGTGTGATGGCACGTTGGGGTTTTCGCATCTCCTGCACCCCGATAGTGGCACGGACAGACTCCACCAGCCAGTAGAATAGAGGGAGTTTATTGCTTCTCCAGGATACAGCTCAGCACAGATGTAACCTGGTTACAGGGCAGGCCTAGGATGCCTCAGCCCCCCTTGAGATGGGGGAGCCTGGGCCCCTAAATCCCAGCCCGTTGCCTAGGCTGCTTCCTCTATGATACCAGCCAGAAACCTAACTAACTCACTTCCAGCCCTGCCCCCAGCCAGGGCTCCACTCCCCTTCTTCCCATCATTCCGCTCCCTGGGAGATAACTGGTCAGACAGGTTCAAAGCCCCCTTGCATAAGGACTCATCCCCTGCCCTGCTGGGCCATGCGGCAGACAGCAGCCAGCGGAGGTCACTCACAACCCACTGCCCAGCATAGCAACCAGCAAGGTACCCCCCACTATGTCACACAGGGTAGTCAAACACTGGAATAAATTGCCCAGGGAGGTTGTGGAATCCCCATCTCTGGAGATATTTAAGATTAGGTTAGATAAATGTCTATCAGGGATGGTCTAGACAGTATTTGGTCCTGCCATGAGGACAGGGGACTGGACTCGACCTCTCAAGGTCCCTTCCAGTCCTAGTATTGTATGATTCACCCCTGCAAGCAGTGGGGCTAGAGGCGCCACGTCCCAGGCAGGAGCGCTGGGGCTCCAGCAGGCCATGAACACAGCACCCTGATCCCCTCAGCCAGCACAGCCCCACAGGCTAGGGGTAATCCACAGGCCACATGGCCTAGTGGGCAGTGCTCTGGTCTGGCCCCACACCCAGCTTTCCTGTCTGTGCTGTGAGAACGATGCTCCGGTCTCCTGGGAAGCCAGGCTGACTCAGCCAAAAAACATGGCCCACTTCCCAGGCCCATGTACGCATGGGGCCAAAGCCCCCATCTTCCATCCCCAGAGATTCAGAGACCCTCCCCTTCTATCTCCCCCCACAGCTGCCAGGACACCATCTACTCTCGGGTGCTGGCAGCAGGGGATTAATGGAGCCTCATTTCCCAGCTGTAACAAGGAGGGTTGTTGGCCAGGAACACATGGCACTGACAACTCAGTGCGGGGCCCTAGGGAACCCGTCCCAGACCCACCTGCTGCAGCAGACCCTGGGTTGTCCCCCACAGGGTTTTGCCAAGCCCCTTCCCTTGGCATGGCCATGCTGACATGGCCCATGGAGCACAGCATCTGGGTCAGGCCTGCCTGAGGGGCAGCGGCACTATACTGTCAGGAGGGCAGGCAGCAGGTGAGAGCTGCTCTCCCCCCTTGGCTGGCTGCTTGTGTAGTGAAGGCTCTGACTGTCCCAGCTCCAAGGAGCTGCTCCTCTGCACAGAAAAAAGGCATGAAGAAGCAGTAGTAGAACAGGCACTGGCAGGCATGGGTCCAGCACAGGAGATGGGGAGTCCCTGCCCTGGAGCAGAGAGTCCCCCCTACCTGCACAGGAGGGGAGGGGAACAGAGAGCCCCCGATCAGTCAGAGAGACTCTCGGACTGTCCCATACCAGGTCTGTGTCCCGGAAGCAGAGGTAGTGCTCCTTCACCATCTCACTGTAGGTCCTAGCCTTCGGCCTCAGCTTTGCCTCGCCTGCAGAGCTGCAGGGCAGCACATCAGCTTTGTAGATTGGCTGGGGGAGGAAACACACCCTGAGAGCAAGGTCACATGCTGCTTCCACCCTGGGACCTTGTCCTCGGAGACCAGCCAGCAGGGAAGAGGCTCCTCTCCAAACCTCCCAGAGCCCAGGCCTAGGGGTGGAACAAACACTGCAGAAAGGCCTTCCATGTTGCTGGGCCTCTCTGCCTGCTCATTAAGCAAAGGTCGTTAGGGGCAGGGCCACAGATGCAGCAGGGCCTTGTTCCCCACAGTTCAAGGCTGGATGAGGATCACATCATCTTAACCCTTCAGGCCCCTGGGCTGGGAGCAGGACCCCCACAGCCTGTCTGAGCACCACCCTGCACACAGCCCTGCAGACACACTGCTCCCTGCTCTGCCACACAGCCTCCCAATCCCACCGGGTTCTGAGTCCATACAGCCCCTCACTCCCACAGCATCAGGGACAGAGTCCTGTACTTGCCTTGACTACATGGCGCTGCTCCACTGTATTCCTTGTACTCCCACCCCTCCCACACCTCTGCGGTCCTCCCACCAGCTCAGCTCCCAGCCCGCCAGGCCACTGCCCCCCATAACCGCTATATTCCTTGGCCCCCCTTCGCACTCGCTCCAGCCCCACAGCCCTAGTCTGCCAGGCCACTTGCCCACCCAACACTATAATCCCATCCTCCCTTGGTTCAGCCCTCAAGCTCCATAGCGTTCTATGCCCCCCCCCATGCTATTCCACTGTAGTCCTGCCCACACCCCACGACCTGCTCCCCAAGGAGACACATACAAATCTGCGCTCTGAGGGCCGCTTGACATTGAGTGGGTTCACAGCCAGGTCAGGCAGCACAGCTGCCAGCAGCTCTCCAGTGATGTCCCCAGCCACCACAGCGTTCAGCCAGTCGGAGCTGGAGATGCTCTGTAGAAGGAGAGGTTGCTCAGGCCAGGGAAGATGGGACATTCTGCCAGCACCAAGTGCCCCGGTGGGCCCCAGGCAAAAATCCAGGAGGGCATATACATGAGCAGAACCCAGCTGTCTCTCGCTGGCCAGGAAGGGGGAGACAGGAAACTGTATGGGCCCGTTTCGCTGTGCCACAGGCTCAGAACCGAGTGGGTGATGTGGAAGCCAGGGGCCCGCTCCAGGAAGCACAGAAAGTCTCTGGGAGCCAAAGCCAGCCAGCAGAGTGCAGGAGCTGGCAGCTCTCCAAGGGCTAAGGGCACAACTGACCACAAGCACCTCAGCACTCCGACCCGCCTGGCTACGACACTGACTCCCCACTCGACCAGGTCTTACCCACACAGTCCCCTTGCGAGGGGCCACAAAGTAGGCCTTGAAGCCCAGGTAGCCGGCGTCAATATAGTGGATTCCACAAAGTCCATACCTAGAAGAGAAGGTGTGCGAGTGAGCCTGGCACTGCCGGGCTGCCCACTCCCCATATGCTGCAGCAACGTAGGGAGCCTAGTGTCCATGCAGGGAGGGTCACTCACGAGGCATAGCAATTATCCTGGGCCACAGTGACGCCGTTGTACGGCAGCAGCCAGGTGATTTCAGTGGTTAGGAAACGCTTGATGCTGTTGATGGGCTCATAAACCCGCCGCAGGTCCCAGAACTTGATCTTCCGGTCATTCCCTGCTGTCACCAGAAAGTTGCTGCGAGCCAGAATAGGAGCCATGTTCAGTCGTCTGGACCACTGGCCCTGTGCCCCACACACCAAGAGCACTGGGTCACCTCCCTGTCCCCCCGTGAACCATCACGTGAGTGCCAGTTCATATGCCTGGCCCACATGCTCTCCCCCTCAAGTAGCTAGGAAAGCGACCCTCCTCCTTCCCATGGGGACAGGTCTTTTTGTAGCCAGGCTAGGCCCTTCCTGGCAGGCTGGTACCTCAGCCACTGGCTGCCCACCCCTCACCTGTTGACTTTGCACCACTCAATGCTCCGGACAGCGTGGTCATGGGCAAGGAAGCACCTGAAGGGGTAGAGCTTGAGGGAGCCATCTGGCTGGCGCACACACTGCAGCAAAGACTTGGTGGGCAGGTTCCAGATGGCCACAGTGCCTAGGAAACACATGGAGATGCCCATGAGCCCTATCCTGTGAGCCCACACAGCAACATACAGGTCTGGGCAGTCCTAACCCTTCCAAGAGACAGCACTGTGGCTAGGGGCCTGTGGAAATGGTCTGATTTCTATGAACTATCTGAATGACTCTACTAGTCTACTTGGCACTGTTACAGTGATGCTGGGAGATCAGGTACCAGCTCATGCCAAGGCCCCTAGGTCTCACCTGAATGCTGATTACACAGCCCGACTTGCCTGCCAGGAGGCGATCCCAGCAATTCCAGGGTGGTAACCCTGACCTTAGCGCTGGACAAACTGGTTGAAACTTAAGAACAGAATTGTCAGACACAGAGATGAATACAAGTCCTTTGCCAAAGGCTTTTAAGAAAAGTAAGCTGTCCTGAGATAGGAGGGAAAGTCCTCTCATGTACTGATAACTGGTTAAAGGTCAGAAAACAAAGGGTAGGAATAAATGATCAGTTTTCAGAATGGAAAGGGGTAACTAGTGGTGTCCTCCAGGGATGTGTACCCTAACCAATCCTACTTAACATTCATAAATGATCTGGAGAAAAGAGCAAACAACAAAGTGGCAAAATTTGCAGATACAGGTGTTCTCTATCTTGAGTTGTTTTGAACAGACAGCGAAGAGTTACAAAGGGATCTCACAAAACTGGGTGATCGATTAACACGACAGATGAAATGTAATGTTGATAAATACAAAGTATAACACAATGACAGATGAAATTTAATGTTGATAAATACAAAGTAATGCACATTGGAAAACATAAGCCCAACTATAAGTATAAAATTAAATTAGCTGTTACCACTGAAGAGCAAGATCTTGGTTATTGTGGATAGTTCTCTGAAAACAACCACTCAATGTGCATGGCAGTTAAAAAGTAAAAAGAATATTCAGGATCATTAAAATGGCAGAGAATAAGACAGAAAATATCTTATTGCCTCTATATAAATCCACGGCACACCCACATCTTGAATACAGTGTACAGATGTGGTCATCTCATCTCAGAAAAGATATAATGGACCCGAGAAAGATTTAGAAAAGGGTGACAAATGATTATGGATATGGAAGGTCTGCTATATGCAGAGAGATTATTAAGACTGGGATTTTTCATTTTAGAAAAGAAATAACTAAGGGGGATACGATTGAGGTCTATAAAAATCATAACTGATGTGGAGAAAGCAAATAAATGTGTTATTTAATCCTGAAAACACAAGAACTAGGAATGAAATTAATAGGCAGCAGATTTAAAATAAACAAAAGGAAGTATTTCTTCACACAACTCAGTCAACCTGTGGAACTCCTTGCCAGAGGATGTTGTGAATACCAAGCCAAGAATAAGGTTCAAAAAATAGCTAGATACATTCACGGAGGATAGGTCCATCAACAGCTGTTGGCCAGGATGGGCAGGAATGGTGTTCTTAGCCTCTGTCAGGAGCTGGGAATGGCAGACAGGGCATAGGTAACTTGGTGATTCCTTATTCTGTTCATTCCCTCTGGGGGATCTGGCATTGACCAATGTTGGCAGACAGGATACTAGGCTTGATGGGCCTTTGGTCTCACCCATGTGGCCTCTCTTATGTTCTTAAGTTCTGACATCTGTGCCCCCGTGGGATAAGACGGTAATAGGTTTGCATGGCACCCCTCTAATGCACAAATCAAAAGAAAGCACAGCATTACTCCACGGAAAATGCTGGCTTTCTACTGAAGCACTACTCCTGTCCATCAAGGTGGCCCATTGAACCACTGTAAAATACGAAGAACAAAGCCATTGTTTATTGCCTCCACCAAGAGACTTGTGTGAACTTGTTGCCCCTACTTGAGCTCTGGGGGAGGGATAAAAATCCCTGACAAGGAGAAACTGTGTCTGTGCTGCTTGGACTTTACAAGAGTGTCTAGGCATAAGCCATGGGAGTCCCTGCTGCTCCGCCCGGGCTAGCCCCACAGGCTGCAGAGAGCCAGCTTTTTAACCCTAAGATGAACTTGTTTGTGTGTCCTGTGGCACCTTATAGACTAACAGATTTCATCTGATGAAGTGGGTCTTTGCCCATGAAAGTTTATGCTCCAATTAATCTGTTAGTCTATAAGGTGCCACAGGACTCCTCGTCGCTTTTGCAGATTCAGACTGACACGGCTACCCCTCTGATACTTGTTTGTGTGTGTTACCTGCTTTATCCTCTTACTACTACTTCTTGGTAAATGAACAGTTAGTTAGCTACAGGGGTGGCTGCAAGTGTTCTCTGGTATGAGAGCGAAGGCCCAGGGTAAGTGACTGGTTCTTTGGGACTGGGCGTGATCTGCATAGAGGTCTGATTTTTGTTACATGGACCACTCTGTCACAAAAGCAAGCTTAGAAGGGTGGTGAGACAGAGTGGTGCCCATGGGGACTAGTTGAAGCTGGAATCCGGTCAAGGAGTAGGCCACCATCGTCACTACAGATGCGCCCTGGGAGCACTGTGCCTGGAGCTGGTAAGACCTGGTCTTGCTGCAAGGAGCTGTGCAGAGACAGATCATTGGATCCCACAGTCCAGTCTCAGTGCCATGGAGGCTCTGTGGAGCTCTCTCTTTGGGGTCCTTGAGGCCTGGCCTGAGGCCTGCTGCAGGGGTCACTCCCAAGGGGCTGGTTACAGCCTTGGGCACAGATTCTGTAAACCCATGACACGGGCCATAAGAGCCTGTTTGAGGCCAGAAAGCCAGAGGCACAGCTAAGAAACATGAGCAGATCCCACAGCAGGGTCTGGGAAGAAACTGGAGGGGGTGGGAGGTCCCAGGCAGGCTCTGGCCCGGAGGCGCTTACCTAAGCAGCTCCCGGCCAGCAGCATATTCTCTGCGCTATGGGGGGGAAGCTATGTATGCTGTCCCCAAGCCCAGTAAAATCTCTCCGTTCCTAACAGGGATTCTCTGAGCAAAAAATGTTGCTAAAGTACAGATAGGAACTGAAAAGAAACAGTCAAACAAAGGAGTCCCATTCACTTACATCACATGAAGGCAGACAACTAAACAGTGATAACTTTTATAAGTGCTTGTATACAAACGGAAGAAGTTAAAATACTAAGATGGATGAACCTGGAATTAAATGGGGCTCTTGATGCAACAGGCAACAAACTCAGTAGAACAATGATAATTGATGGGACAGGAAATACCAGGGTACAAAACATACAGGAGCAACAGGGTAGGTTGCACTGATGGGAGTGGTGCCACAGGTGAAGAGTCAGAGTTGAATACAGTAAAACCCTTAAACCAGGGGCAGGCAAGATATGGCCCACAGGCTGCATCCAGCCCCCCAAGCCTTTTCATCCCGCCACCAGCATGAAGTGATTGGCTGCTCCCTGAGGCTCTCTGCATAAGACGAAGAAAAGGCAGGGGAGGTTTTGTGCACTCTCTCTCAGCTCCTATTGGCTGGAAACTGGCCAATTGAAGCTGAAATATTTTATTAAGGGCAGCACAATTTCTCAGTTCCCAGTCACCTGTTTTCAACCAATAGGAAATGAGAGATTTTGCTGAGGGCAACAAGTGTAGCCTTCCCCTGCGGCACAGAGAACATGGAACAGTTCTCTTACACTAAAGAACACTTTAAGCGGTCTGGGATTGCTGGCTAGCAGGAAATCCCGCCTGAGAGATGCTGTGTAGGATAAAAATTTCTGAGGCAGGCTATGATATTCTGTTAAGATCCCCTATTCTAAATTTGGAGTCTAGGACTGACACACAAACACATTACATAATGGTTACCCCCCCCACACACACACCTAGCCCAAGGTGGGAGACAGGACATGACACGACACATTCAATGGTGCTAGGAACAAATGTGCCATTGTCAAGTACTCCTAATGTCTCTGCTTTAATCCCCAGATGGACCACATTCTGCAGAGATACCTTCTTCAAGCTGACAGACATATTACCACTTAACACATAATTGATGTCTGCTTTGTTTAAATACTTGTTTTACTGGAAACACTATGTAACTTTATATTATTACTCTTATTTTGCCTCACAATTAGCACCTATCCAGGGGTTCAGGATCTCGATCTCTCACTCACACACACACACACACACACACACACACACACCTGATCTACCCATTCAGCATCCTATATAATTAGTTGTAACCTATTGTTTGGCAGTGTTCACTGAACTCTAACAAGCGACATGATGCTCCGACTGTGCTGTGTATGTAATAAACTCTCTTACTTGCTTCACATATGGTGTCCAGGTTCTGTTCCTTCATGCTGTCTGGGAACAGCTTAGGTAAATACATCCCAGCCAGAGCCTGCTGACATCACCCCACCCCCTCTCACACCTCAGCTCCTTCCCAGAACCAACACCCACTCCTACATCTCTCCCCTAGGTCAGAATCCTCTCCTGCACCCATACCTGCTACCAGAACCTGCACCCCAACTCCCTGCCCCAGGTCACAACCCCCTCCTTCACGCAAACTCCCTCTCAGACCCTATACTCTCTTGCACCCCAGTCCCCTATCTTGAACAACCTTCTGCACCCAATCTCCATCCCAGACCCTGCACCCGCTCCATAGAAAAGTGCAGCCCTTGATCACTTACCAATATCTTGGAGTGGCTCCCACCCCTGTCTTAAAGACTAATAACAACAGGGTATTTCACCGATCCCCTATGACTGGGCACATCACCTCTGGATGGGATGTACAAAGAACAGTTCTCAACACCATTAATGATTGGTGCTTGCAGCTGCTAGTCCTGAAACCCAAACCAGGAAAGGCAATTCCTAATTTAGTCCTAAGTGGTGCACAATCTGATTCAAGTGGTGAATATACTGGTGTGACACTGTTGTGAAAAAAAAAAGCGCACAGATGTGATTCTGGGATGCATTAACAGGAGTGTTGTGAGCAAGACACGAGAAGTCATTCTCTGAGCTGATAAAACCTCAACTGGAGAATTATTCCCAGTTCTGGGCACCACATTTCAAGAGAGTGGACAAATTTGAGAAGGTCAAGAAAAGAGCAACAAAAATGATTAAAAGTCTAGAAAATATGACCTATGAGGAAAGACCGAAAAAATTGGGTTTAGTTTAAAAAAGAGAAGACAGAGGGGACATTATAGCAGTTTCCAAATACAGGCAGTCCCCGGGTTACGTACAAGATAGGGACTGTAGGTTTGTTCTTAAGTTGAATTTGTATGTAAGTCGGAACTGGTACATATTGTAGGGGAAACTCTAGCCAAACATTTCTCCAGAGCTCAGTTTTATTCTCCCACACCTCACTTCCCTCAGCCCTTTATTCTCAAGCTGAAGTGTCTGCTGAGAAAAGCCGCTCCACCTCTCCCTGGTCTGCTGGGCGGGGGGAGGGGGACGCGCTAGCTTCGCATCTCCCTAGTCTGCTGGGGGGAAGTAGCTAGTGCGGGGGTGCCTCACCCCGGTTGTGGACTGCCTGTACCTAAAGGGTGTCAACAAGGAGGAGGGAGGAAAAATTGTTCTCCTTGGCCTCTGAGGACAGGATAAGAAGCAATGGGAGGTTTAGGTTGGACATTAGATAAAACTTCCTGTCAGGGTGGTTAAACACAGGAATCAATTGCTTAGAGAGGTTGTCTGTATTTAAGAGCAGATTAAACAGACACCTATCAGGGATGATCTAGATGATGTTTGATCCTGCGGTGAGGCCAGGGGACTGGACTTGATGACCTCTCAAGGTCCTTTCCAGTTTAGTGTTCTATGATTCTACGATTCTATACAGCAGAACCAATCAGTAATGTAATTAAATATTACATGACTTGTCAGAGTTTAATTAGGCAAGTCAAAAAATAATTTGAAGAGCAACACACATCAGAAGCAAGAAGCCTATGAGACAGGCCCTGGAGTCACTGGATAACTGAGGTGCTAAGGGAGCATTCAAATTCAAGTCATTCTAGGAAGATACGGCCATTGTGAAGAAGCTACATAGATTCTTTGCCTTGGTCATCACTGTAGATCATGAGGAAGATTCCCACACCTGAGCTGTGTTTTTCGGTGACAAATCTGAGGAACTGTTGCAGATCAAGATATCAATGGACATGTTTTGGAACAAATGGATAAATTAAACAGGAATAGATCACCAGAACCGGATGGAATCCACCCTGGACTTCTGAAGTAACTGACATACAAAACTGCAGAACTACTAAGAGTGCTATAACCACTATTGCTTAAATTAGTCTCTGGATCAAATGACTGATGCCAATTTTAAAAAGAGACTCCAGAGGTGATCCTGGCACTTACAGGCCAGTAAGCCTGACTGCAGTACCAGGCAAGTGGGTTGAAACTAGAACAGAATAAGGAATTATCAGAGAAGAGGACTCAATATTTTAGAAGAGTCATTCTTCTCACAATGCAGTCAATCTATGGAATTTGTTGCCAGGGAAGGCTGTGAAGGCCAAAAGTATAACAGGGTTCAAAGAAGCACTAGATAAGTTCATAGAGGATAGGTCCCTCAATGGCTATTAGCCAGGATGCGTAGGAATGGTGTCCCTAGCCACTGTTTGTCTGGAAATGGGTGACAGGAGAGGGATCATGTGAGGATTACCTGTTATGATCCCTCCCTCTGGGGCATCTGGTATTGGCCACAGTCAGCAGACAGGATACTGGGCCACAAGCACCCAAAGGTCTCCCACCCTGTCAGCCAACAGATGACTACCAGGAATGAGGTTTTTAAATGAATGAATGTATGGGCCCATATGTTTGAAAGGTTAAGTTCCTTAAGATACTGAGGTGGTGTTAAGATCCAGATACAAGGAAGCAAATCATATACAGTAATTCCTCATTTAACACTATAGATGCATTGCTGAAAATGTTCGTGCTAAGCAAAAACAAGCTGTGCGGGGTCAATTTTCCCATTAAACATAATGGAAAAGGTGGGGGTTGCATTTCAGGTGGTGGTGGCAAAGTCAATATTTTGTTGGTGCTGGGTTGTCAACGTCAACATTAGATCTCTAGCAACACAAGTCGTTGCAGTTAGTTAAAACACAAAGATAAACACGTGAATGAGTGCTCACTTGACTTCTCCCCTGAGGGCCACTCTGCATAAGCCCTACCACCCCACCCCACTCGCCAGGGCCCAACCCACCTTTGCAGATCAAGATATCAATGGACATGTTTTGGAACAAATGGATAAATTAAACAGGAATAGATCACCAGAACCGGATGGAATCCACCCTGGACTTCTGAAGTAACTGACATACAAAACTGCAGAACTACTAAGAGTGCTATAACCACTATTGCTTAAATTAGTCTCTGGATCAAATGACTGATGCCAATTTTAAAAAGAGACTCCAGAGGTGATCCTGGCACTTACAGGCCAGTAAGCCTGACTGCAGTACCAGGCAAGTGGGTTGAAACTAGAACAGAATAAGGAATTATCAGAGAAGAGGACTCAATATTTTAGAAGAGTCATTCTTCTCACAATGCAGTCAATCTATGGAATTTGTTGCCAGGGAAGGCTGTGAAGGCCAAAAGTATAACAGGGTTCAAAGAAGCACTAGATAAGTTCATAGAGGATAGGTCCCTCAATGGCTAGTAGCCAGGATGGGCAGGAACATAGCCCCATGTGCTGGGTGTCCCTCTGGCTCTGACTGCCAGATGTTGCCTGGGACGAATGAAAGGAGATGGATCCTGCAATAATTTCCCTGTTCTGGTCATTCGCTCTGGAGCTAGCCACTGCTGAAAGACAGGATACTGGGCTACACAGATCCTAGTCTAACCTAATGCGGCCATTCTTATGCTCTCCTAAATCGCAGCCCCCTGCCACCCTAGCCGTCCCTCTCTTCCCCCATCTCTTGCGAGGCCCCTGCAGTCCAGCCTCTACCACAACAGGCAGGGTGGAATTTTATTTTTGTTTAAATATTTTTACCCCACCTTTCTATTTAAAATATTCAAGGCGGCTATGTGCTGAGCTTGCTGCCATCACAGGGCCATCTCGGGGGCTGGGCAGAGCGAGCAACAGCCCAGCATTACGTATCTAATTTAGAGTCCCCTGCCACACCCAGGCACTGGGCAGGCAGCAGCAGGTCCCTTAGTGCACAGTCTTTACCGGTTAACCTCCATGGGGCCAGCAGGTGGCACAGCGTTTAACCGGGCGTTACATGGTTATTGTTTTTAAAATTTTTTTACATCCTTCTATGGCACCCTGGCCCTGTCTGCCCCAGTGCTGAGTGAGAAGCTGACTCACCATCATAGAAGCCGGCTGCTAGGTACGGGTGAGGCTTAGAAGGCATCCAGGAGAGGCTGAAGCACTGGCCGCACCCAGACGAGTTTCCTGCCTGGATGGAGCCAACTTGCAAGGTGGCAACACACTGCACCTGTGGGTGCCAATGACAATCTGGATTAGCAGGGTCCTGGAGGCCCCCTCGCTGACACCAACACCCATACCAGTCCCCTAGGACAGGGCATCATTCAGCACAACCACCAGGGTTAGTGCCTGTGGGACCCAGTCCCCTCCCCATGCTTAAGTGGGCCCCCACATGGGGAAACGTCCTGTGCTACTCCCATTCCCCACCCACCCACCCCCAGCGGCCAGGCACCAAGCTGGGACTCAGCACTGGTACCCCTAGGCACCCACATACATCTGCAATCCTGGGCGACTGAGGGCAGAGAGTCGCAAGGTGAAGGGCTACTGGGACAGTACGTGGCACCCATTACAGCAGACACTTACCTTGCAGATGATGTGCTTTGGGAAGGGCCCACCTGGGAGAAAGCAGAGAACAGGGCAGTCAGAAAGGGCAGGAGCTGTGCCACCGGCCCCCAAGCTGGGGGAGGCTGCCCCACAGACCCACTGAAGGGTTTTAGTCCCCAAGGGGCCCAGGGGACCCTGTGGCCTGGGATGTGAAGGCTGGAGGAAGTGCTGGGCTCCATTTCTCTCACTGCACAATCTATCACTGAACAAAGAGAGGGGGGAGTTGAGCTTAGGGTCCTAGCCCCTTTCTACAGAAAGAAGCCCAGCTACCACGAGCTTTTCATTTCAGGTGAGAGGAGCCCAGGGACCTGCAGCAGGATGCTGAAGCCAGACGAACCTTGGTCTGACCCAGGAGGATGAGGAATCACTGGGATTCTCAAGGGCAGTGGTGGATTCTTCACCCTGTGAAGGGATCACATTGAGGCTGGCTGCCCTGTTGGATGGTGCTTTGAGCCAAGCATAATGCAGGGGGAGATGGGTGACATTCTCTAGCCTGCCCATTTGCAATTATAGACCCTCAGAACACTAGAACTGGAAGGGACCTCGAGAGATCATAGAGTCCAGTCCTCTGCCCTCACAGCAGGACCCAGTACCTCTAATGAGGGTAGCCTAATGACTAATAACAAAGGCAGACTGTGGCCAGAAGGTACCATGTAGCGTGACCCGCTGGATAACAACGGCAGTTCATCCAGGGCTGAGCTGGGCACAGTGCTGAGATAGGGAAGGCTGGCCCAACATGCTGCAGTGGGGACCCCTAACTGAAACACCAGCCTTGTGTCAGGAACCTCTACACACCCCCAGCCATCTCTGAGCCACAACTGTTAAAGACAGCTGGGCTCCCAAGACCTCTCCTCCATGGTCCCAGGCTTATAGGAAAAGGCACAATGGGTGCTCAGACACTGCACTTTGAAGGACTCCTGTATCTTCTGGGACAAGTTATGGAGGCTGTTCTGGATGCTCAGGATCTGGGCCAGGCCTAGCTTTTAACAATTCCTCAGAGGAATCCCTTCCATGGGCCCGATTAGGTCAGACCCACCCTTCCTTGCAGATAGGCCACACTGCAAATGGCCATGACCACCCCTGGGCTCCAGCCAGCCCAGTTGAGCCAGACTCTGCAGAGACTGCAGGAAGACTTTCCCAAACACATCTGGTCTACCAATCCCCTGGGCACATTATGGGGAAGCCCTTTGGCTGGCCAGAGAACTGAAGAGGAAGACATGTTCTAGCCTGGCCACTGTCAGGGCTCCCTTGAGCCAGGCTACGGAGACACTGCCTTGGTTTACTGTGTCTGTCCCTTTCCCTAGACTGAGACCCACAAGGGCCTTGTGAGCAGCTAACCTGACACCGCATTTCACAGGCCAGAGACCAGTCCTACAAGGGTTCCTAGAGCAGAGCTTATAAAAACAGCTGATTGGGACTGAAACATTGGCAGTGATCAAGCATCCAGCAGGACCTTCCTAAGTTGTTCCTGTGGTTAAGGACTCCCATTGCTAACCATTTACAGCTTATTTCCAGTTGAAACTTGTCTAACTTCAGCTTCCTTCCCCTGCTAGACTGAATAGCCCATTGTTAACTCCCACCCCCCTCCCCCCAACATGTAGGAGCACAGTCCAATCAAATCACCCCTTAACCATCTCCTCATTAAGGTAACGAGATGCCAGAACCTCAGTCAATTAAGGGAGCATTCTAGCACTTCAATCACTCTCACATCTCTTCTTTGACTCCTCTCCTACTCATCAGCATCCTTCCTGAACTTTGGCTCAGACCTGGACAGAGGATCCCAGCAGCAGTCACACCAGGGCCGAACAGATACAGAAACCTCCTCCCATTTGTGCTCCCAGGCTGCCATTCACTCTTTTGGCTTCAGTGTCATCCTGAGAGCTGCCCATCATCTCACTGCATCAGCACAACCCCCACATCCTTCTCAGAGACCCTGCTATCCAGGGAAGAGTCCTGCAGCCTGAGTCTGGCCTGCATCCTGCATTCCCAGCTGTACACAGATGTTTAGCCCTATTACAGCGCGTGATGTGTGCTTGAAACTCAGCTTTCCAGGAGCCCAGGCCGCTTTGCATCACCAATCCATCCTCTTCAATATTCAACACCAAGGCTATGATTTCATCATGAGTTTTCATCGTAAAAGTCATGGCTAGGTGACAGGCAAGGAACAAGAAATCGTAGCCTGTGGCATGATTATACCATAAATACACCTGACAAATTGGCAGCCCAGGGGGTCCCTGCTGGGAGGATTCCTGAGGGTCCCACTGTGGGGAGCTACTGCCCTGCAGTTGCTCAGGTGGTCCCTGGGGCCAGCTGCATCAGCCACTACTTCAGCAT